TCTGTGTGTGTGTCTGTGTGTTTCTGAGGCCTTTGCAACTACTGAATTATACCCCAGCCCCTTTACTCACTTAAAAATGTTCATTATACTCATTTACCAGGTATAGGGCTACCTGCCTATAATCCCAGCACTTGGGAAGCTGAGACAGGAGGATTGAGGGAAAAGAGAAACCAATCAACCAACCAACTAACACTTGCTCACACACATACTCACACACTCACACACACAGACCCATGCACACTTATCTTCCCATCCTGTCCTTACACCTTCCTTCATTTTTACAATAAAAATATTATATCAGCATGGCACTTGGTAAGGACACCTGCAACTCTAAGTAAAAATTTTCCTTTCACTTTTTCCAACACAATCATCTGATAGCTTGTGGTGATATTTTATTTGTGCTCTAATAAATAAAGCTTACTGGGAGATCAGAGGAAAAAGCCAGCCATTATATAAAACATAGAAGTCAGGCAATGGTAGCACATGCCTTTAATCCTAGCATTTGGGAGGCAGAGATTCATCCGGATCTCTGTGAGTTCAAGGCCATACTGGGAACAGAGCCAGGCATGGTGACACATGCCTTTAATCCCAGCAGTAGTTAAACATAGAGGTCTGGAAGTCTGTACAGACAGACAGGAGGTGACAGAGCTGGGTGGAAAGAGGAAGTGATGTAGCTGGGTGGAGAGAGGAAGTGAGATGGCAGGGACAGAAAGGTATATAGGTATGGGTATACAGGAAGTAGGCCTCTCTTTGGCTGAGGATTTCTAGTGGTAAGAATGTGGCTGGCTTCTTTCTGCTTCCCTGATCTCCCAGTTTTCACCTCAATATCTGGCTCTGGATTTTATTTTTCATTATTAATAAGACCATTTAGCAATTCTTCTTACCACAGCTACTAACCTAAAGGTAAATTATAACAATAGTAAGCAATAAATTTAAAATTATGTGTTGGCAGAAAATGAAAACCCAAAATGTTGTTTACTGTGCTGAGTGTACCACAGCTTTCTTCACGTACGCTGGAGATGGGTCAGCAAGAAGTGAGAGGGATTCATGACACAAATAATTCCACTTCAAAGCATTTGATTCTGTTCTAATTTGGAAATATTTTCAAATTACATTTAGTGTGTTTGCATGTGCCACGGCATGTGTGTGGCGGTCAGAGGACACCCACAGGAGCGGGTGTTCTCCTGTCACCATGTGGGTCCCAGGACTTGAGCTCAGGTTATAGGCGTGGGAGTGAACCTTCCTCGCTGAACCATGGCGCTGGTCTTGATTTTGATTTGACTTTGTACAGCATTTTGTTGTTGCTGTTTATTTTGAGACAAGGTCTCACTATGTAGCCCTGGCTGGTCTGAAATGTGGTTGGTAAAGCAAGCTGGCCTTGAACTCACAGAAATCTGCCTGTGTCTGCCTTCCACGCTGGGTTTAAGATGTGAGCTACTGTGCTTTCCCCTGGCTGGCAGCCCAATGCCTGGAGTTTCTGTAAAGGATGTAAATCAGCAGGAGTTCCTCAGAGCTCTGGCAGCCTTCCTCAAAGAGTCCAGGAAGCTGAAAGTCCCCGAATGCCTGGACACAGTCAATCCAGCTAAACATAAAGAGCTTGCCCCCTCTGATGAGAACTGTTTCTACAGAGAAGCTGCTTCCACAGCACAGAACCTGTACCTCCGAGGTGGTGCCGGGGTTGACTCCATGACCAAGATCTACAGAGGTCAGCAGAGAAATGATGTCAGGCCCAGCCACTTCAGCAGAGGCTTCAAGACTGTGGCCCATCAGGTCCTTCCTCCAAGCCCTGGAGGGGATGAAAATGGTGGAAAATGACCAAGATGGGAGACACAAGCTAACACCACAGGGACAGAGATCTGGACAGGTGGCAGCTGCCAACGAGAAGCACCAGAACAAAGGATGCTGGGTTAATACGTTGCCTCATCCATTAAAAAACTGTGTCCTACCACACCTCTGGCCTTGCTTTGAATTTATTCAGCCAGTGATTGCTGGATTCTTCAAGATTTCCTCAGCATAGGAGACAATGGAGGCATGACCCTACTTGGCACACTGCACTTCTAAATAAGAAGCATGGTACATGATGCTCCTGAAGTCAGAACTCTGAATTCGGAAGTAGTGTGAGTAGCCAGCAGCTGGCCTGTGGATGAGTCTGCACTCTCCACATCTCCTTCCACCTAGAGACCCTGGTGATGGGAGGGCTCACTATCTAATCGGATGTGATGTGCTAACCAACCACAGCTGATAGGCTTCCATTATATAAGTGGTTCCTCATGTGCAAGAAAGCAGAGGTTGTTCCCTGAGCCCATCTCTGGAGAGGTGCATCTCCCTCTCCTCACTGACTCATGGCCATTGCTGCTTGTTGGGGGACACCCCAGTAACAATGATCTCCCCTCTCCTCACTGACTCATGGCCATTGCTGCTTGTTGGGGGACACCCCAGTAACAATGATCTCCCCTCTCCTCACTGACTCATGGCCATTGCTGCTTGTTGGGGACACCCCAGTAACAATGACACCTCAGTGTTAAATTCACGGAGAATTCAATGGTCAAAATCAATATTGAGCATGCACTATAGTGTCCATTGGTGCTTGAGACACAGTAGTAGAGAGTACTTGTATCTGTCCTCACAGTACTGACATTCTCCTGGCAGAAGACAAACAATGATAGTGTTTGGAAATCAGTGCACACAAAGTATGCCAGTTATAATTAAATGCTGTTGAAAATAATACAGTAGGAAAAGAGTAATCTGAACAATTATCTGAGCATAGCTCATTTACAATAAAAATATTTCTCTTCTTGCCTTTCTTTTGCCAGTAAATTTACTAATAATAACCTCTGAAAGTATGCTGTGAAATCCATGTATAATCACACATAATTGATTTATCCACTTTTTTATATTACAAAGGACACATTATGATTCGGTAAATTTGGATCATGCAGAAAAAAGCCTTCAGATGAAAGTGATGCGTGGAATTGAGATTGACATGTGTGCTGTTGGAGGCCACCACTAAACAGTTAGCAGAGTGCAGCACTAGCCCAGAGATGCATAGATCTTGGGGAGAGCATTTTTTAATCAGAGGTAATTTTAGCCTCATTAGAATTTGTACGTCAATGATAGCTAACTAAGAATGAGTACACAACTTGTCAGCTTAATTTCTGTGTTGGTTTCTGCACACGAGTCATGCATATGAAGTGGAATGAAATTAGAAGTCCAGGGAAGATGTCAGCTTGCTTGTTGATATGACAGATGACCAGTGAACATTTTCTTCAGGGACCTGTCTGAGGGGAATGGAGGGAGATGCCTCTGTCTCTTGAGGCCGTTGCTCAGTCTTGGGCATGAAAAAGTGGAGACCAAGTCCACCACAGACACAGTTTTGTGCGCAAAGCGAAACTACCTAAAAATCCATAGACGTTAACTTGTGGAAAATCTGCTTTTAAAACTATAATGAACATATTGTACCATTGACCTATTTAAAGAATCCAATTTAATTGCTCATTTAGTATAGTCACAGGCTTGGGCAATCATCAGCACCATATTGCCTAAGACTTGGGCAGTTTGCTTATTTTTGTCTGTATAGATGGGTGTACTTGGATATTACATTGGCTTTGCATAGCTATGTAGTATCCTACGATATAGAAATATACCAGAATTTGTTTGTTTATGTATCAGTCGATTGCAGGAAGTTGTTTCCACAGTTTAACTATTATGAATAATGTTTCCATGAACAAATTTGCACATTTTCCTGTGGCTACATATTTCGTGACTTTTGGGTATATGCTAAAAACAAGAATCACTGACTATTATGGTAACTCTATATTTGCTTTAAAAAGATTTATTTATTCTTTTATTTTATGTGTATGAGTGTTTTACCTCCGTGTGTGTGTGTGTGTGTGTGTGTGTGTGTGTGTGTGTGTGTGTGTGATGTGCACACAGTGCTCTTGGAGACTAGAAGAGGGCATTGGATATCTTACAATTGGAGTTACAAACAGTTTTGAGCAGCCATATGGGTGCTAGAAACTGAACCCCAGTCTTCTGCAATAACGACAGTGTTTTAATCACTGAACTACCTCTCTAGCCTCTATATTTACTTTGTGGTTGTTACTTTAAGACAGGGTCTCTCTCTATAGTCCTTGAACTCACCATGTAGACCAGGCTGGCCTTGAACTCACAGAGACCTGCCTCTGCCTACACAAGTGCTGGGATTAAAGGTGTGCACCACCACACCTGGCTCATATTTACTTTTTTTTTTTTTTTTTGAGGATCTGAAAAAGTGTTTCCCAAAATGGCTGTAGCACTTTACACTCTCACAAGCAATGTTCAAGGGTCTCAGTCTGCCGCATCACCCCTGTGTCCATTGTCTTTTCTTTTGGTGATGGCCACCCCAAGAGTCTGAAATATTATCTTAGTTTATATTTGACTTGTATTCCTCTGTGGTCAATATCAGTCTGTGTGCTTCTGAATATATACCTGTCATGGGATAGGGAATGTACCTGCCATAAATGTCTATTCAGATCCTTTGGCCTGTTTTACTGGGCTAGTTTGTCATTTTTATTGTTAAATATAAACCTATTTATATATTCTGTAAAAATATCTCTAATTAGATATGTAATTTGTCAAATACCCAAAGAAAAAGTGACTATCTAAAAATAATATACTACTTATGAAAACATTAAACTAGTTTGGTATTTAAAAAAGGAGCCACTTCTGTGGCTCTGAGTGCAATGTGATGTCTCAGCTAGTTTTTAGACAATTTGAAATCATAGAAAGTAACCTATTTATCTTTATAATAAAATAACTAGAACATTTTATCTTTGGCAATATTACCCCCAGAAAATTAATTAGAAAACCAGCAATTAGAAGTCTTGAATGATCTTTATCAAAAATCTGTTGGAGGAAGCTCTAGAGTACTCATTTAAAATTACTGCCATGTTTTCATTGTGTTTAATACTCGGTTTCATAAGAACATTTCCATACAAGATGTAATTAACTGCCAGTGTAAAAGCCACAGCTCTCTTCGTAAAGAGAACAAGAGATTGTTTATTTTGGAGCCCTTGAGTGGCCATGGCCCAGGAACACAGATTAGGTTACCCCAAATTCCATGTTTCAACATAGAAGCAGTTTCACGAAGCATTATAGCTTTCTTTAAAGTGCAAAAAAGTCAAATCAAGACAAGTTTAAAATATACAGTGGGTACACCAGAGAGGCAGGTAAACTGAGGTAGGGGGTGGTTCCATAGGCCCAAGATGCTGTCTGATGACATTCTAAGCTCCGGAGGGCAGAAGCTAGTGTTCTGCTGAGTCAGTAGCTTCTAAGAGGTTTTTATTTGTTATCATGAGGTGTTAGGTCAGATGCAGAATGGGGCAAGGGATGCCTGTTCCAGAAGGCTAACACTGGCCCCACACAAAGTAGCTAGCCTCTGAGCCTGCAAAGTCCCAGTCTCTCCACAGCGCTGACATTCCGGTCGGTCCATCAATCTCTGCAGCACGGACTCTTTCCAGATTTTCTTCTCAGCCAGACACAGCTTCTGTTCAGGAGTTTTCACTCACAATACATTGAGCCTGTTCCTCCTCTGTCCCCCATGCTGTCCCGTTTTCTTTTCCTGTTTGGTCCCTCAGTTGCCATAGATAGTTTAATTGCTACTTTTATGTCATATGTGTGCACCTATTTTATGCATCTATATACAATCTAGAATTCACAAATGAGAGAAAATTTATGGCATCTGTCTGAGACTGATTTAATTTGCTTAGTGCAACTATCTCCAGATGCATTCAGTTTTTTATTTTCAGCTGACATAATTTCATTCTTTGTGGCAGAATACAGTTCCACTGTGTGTGTATATCATGTCTTTATCTATTCCTCTCTTGAAGGACACCAAGGATGACTTCATAACTTAGTTATTATAATAGTGCTGAAACAAGCATTGCTATGCATGTATCTCTGTGATACATTGACTCAGAGTCCTTGGAGTAAATAACACAGGAATGGCCACCTGGGCCACACGGTAGTTCTATGCGAAGGTTTTAAGGAATTTCTACACTGATCTCCATATTGGCTGACACGGTTTACACTCCCAGCACCTTATAAGCATTCCCTTTGTCTAAGTCCTCTCCTGCATTTGTTATTTGTTTCCTTAATAACTACAATTCAGACAGGTGAGAATCTCAACGTAGTTTTAATTCATAATTCTCTGTTGGTGAGTGAGGTTGAACTTTAAAAAATATGTTTATTGAAGACTTTTATTTCATCTTTTGCAAACTGCTTGGTCATTTCATTCATTTATTGACCAGGTTGCCTGATTTTTTATTTAGATTTTTAGATCTTTGTGTAATCTAGATACTGATCCTCCATCACATGAACCGTTGATGACTTTTCTGCCATTTGATAGACCACCTCTCCTCAGCTAATTCCTTTGCTGTGCAGAGATTTTTAGTTTCATGAAATACCACTTGTCAGTTAAGTCACTATCTGCTGAGTGACTGTGTCCAGAGCATCCTCACCTACATCTGCATCTCCCAGTGCCTGCCCACTTTCTCCCCAGCTGTTTCAGAATTTCTGGTTGTGCCTTAAGGCTTTTGATGCATTTGGAGTTGATTTTTTTTTTTGCATGAGAGAATGATAGGGATCTAGTTTCATTCTTCTAATGTGGATATGGAATTTTTCAAGCACCATTTATCAGAGAATCTTTCTTCAAAGTGTTTCTTTACCATTTGCCCTAAAATCAAGTGACATAGCATATTCTTCATTTCTACTTCATTGATAAGTGTGTCTATTTTGTACAATTCTGTTTTTGTTATGATAGCTCTGTAGTACAACTTGAAATCTGGTATAGTTATATTTATATTTTTACTATTTTAAATTAGTGTGCATGTCTCCATGTGAGTGTGTCTCTGTGTGAGTGTGTGCATACAAGT